CTATCTTATCTACCCTCCACCGCACACGCACTTACGATTGATCCCAATCACTGACCAGTCGTCCTCCATGCTACATTTTTCATTTCCTTAGTATTATAATCTCTCCAACATAGAAAATGTTAAGCAGAATCCTGGTATAGATAAGGAGTGTGAGATTTGGGGAGAAAAGCTGAAAAGATGAAACCCACCAGGTTTAAATTCCCCCTCTCCTGAACAGCTTGTGAAAATCTTTGCTTCATGGGGCTCATGAGACAGTAATGCAGTAGGGCGTTTGCCTTACATGTGACTGACCCAGGTCTAATCCATAATACCTCATGTGATCCCCTGAATACTGTCAGGTGTGGCCCAAAATCAAAACAAGAAAAAGAAAAGAGATAAGAAAAGGAAATTCTGGGGCCAGAGCGATAGCATAGTGGGTAGGGCGTTTGCCTCGCACGCAGCTGACCTGGGTTCCATCCCGGGCATCCCATATGGTCCCCTGAGCACTGCCAGGAATAATTCTTGAGTGCAAAGCCAGGAATAACCCCTGAGCATTGCTGGGTGTGACCCAAAAAGGGGGGGGAGGAAAAGAAAATGAAATTTTTGCTTCAAGCTTTAACTTCAAACCTTGGTTAGGCAAGTTACTTATCAATCTGTGCCTTGGTTTCTTTAGATACAAAGTTGGGGAAATGAGAGTTAAAATAACTATATTATTGAATAAAGTAAATATGTAAAGCAGTTAGTATAGTACTTGTAACATGGTCAACACTGTGGAAAGGTTAGTTATGAAAATAGAACTTCTAATTATGCATGTATATAAAAAATTTCCACAGAATTTAAAAAATATACAGTTTGTACATTATTTTCAAGGGCTAGAGCGATAGCACAACGGGTAGGGCGTTCGCCTTACAAGCGGCCAACATGGCTGACCCGAGTTCGATTCCTCCGCCCCTCTTGGAGAGCCCGGCAAGCTACCGAGAGTATTCGATATGCCAGACACAGTAACAACAAAGTCTCCAATGGAGACGTTACTGGGCCCGCTCGAGCAAATCGACGATCAACGGGAGGGCCTTTACCTTTACCTTACATTATTTTCAATTGTACTTAAGTAAATTTTAACGGGGTGGTGGTGGTAGGGAAGCTGAGGACACTCATGGGGAAACACACACTGGTGAAGGAACAGGTGTTAGAATATTATATGACTGAAACCCAATCATGAACTTTGTAACTATATCTATATCTATATCTATCTATATATAACTATATCTCACTATGATTCAATTAAAAATAAACCTTTAAAAAATAAAGTAAAAGTAGAATAATTGATAAATATATATAATCTTTGCATTTTTCACATTTAAGCAAATGGAACTTATATGAAATAGCATAAGTACTGTACTGTCTTTTACATGAGCATCCTGCTATGGAGAAAGCAAGGTTGGCCTTTCACACTTACTTTCACTGACAATGATTCTATCACTGCAGTTGCTTAGAAGCTGCCTCCAAAGATATATGAATAAAGAAGATAGCAATTGAAGGGAGTAAAGGTTTTTAAACAATAGTTGTTCTCACATACTGCTTCCCTGATTCAGCAGGTTTGTTAACGTCAACTTTTTTGTCAACATTCAAGGCACTGGCATAATGAGTTGATTTTTAAATTATTATTATTATTTCAATAGAAATAGCAGTCATTGTTCCTTACTTGATACCTTCCAGTTTCCACAACCATCCTGCCAAGTAAGGCTGCTTTCTTTTCCCCGTGACTTGTAACACACAGGAGAATGATTTGTTGTGCACGCCACCTCACCAACTCTTCTATTAGCAGAGGACATATAGTGTGACGGAGTCATAGAAACACAGGGCTTAATTGTAATTCCAAAAGTGTGCTATCCAGAGTAATGATCCCATGTGATTAACAAATAGAAATTCCAAGCAACTGTTTTGAGTAGGTGAACAATATAAAGGGCCTATTATGTCAGAGCCTGCTTGTGTAGCTTTTTTTTTTTATGTAGGAGTACTGCTATTTATTCAGCCACTGATTAAGCTGATTGAATTGGGCATGAACTTTACTTTTTTTTAATGAATCACCGTGAAATGCAGTTACTAAGCCGTCATGTTCGAGATTCAGCTGTACAATGAACGACACCCATCCCTCCACCAGTGCACACTTTCCACCAGTGTCCCCACTATATCCCCCCCTTCCCATTCCAGTCCTCACCCTGCCTCCATGAAAGGCAATTTCTCCAATACTCTTTCTCTACTTTTGGGCGTTATGTTTTGCTCAAATTTTCCCACCACCATTTGAGTCTGCCTGCCAGGGACGGATGCTAGATCATTTATTGCCCCTTATTCATTTTGAATATCATGGGTGCCGCAGTCATGCACTTCTGGAATCCTGGATTGTAGATGGTTGAGTTCCAGAGACATTTCTGTAGGGCTCTAATCCATTTTGGAATTCAATTGAGCATCTCAGGACCAGGGATGTTGGTGTGCTAAAATGGTGCCCGGAGGAACATTGTGGGTGTGACAGCCAGGCTGATGAGCAGGCAGGGAGCCAGGGAGGGACAGCCCAGCTCCACTGTCCCCAGGTGGCATGGAGATTTAGTCCTGGGCCCCGCATACCTGGGACTTGCTTGTGGAAACTCTTGGTTGCTGAGATTCCATCTGGAGTAGACAGGCCGACTGCACCTGCTCTATCTGGGGTGCTCTGGTGGAATTGACTTGGTACGGGGCCTGTAGAGATCTCCGGCTCTGTGTTGTCTTCCAGGAACTCACTGCTGTGTCTCTGACTTCTGCTCTCTTTCGAGATTTATTTATGGGTCTCTGAAGCAAGGCCAGTAATAGAGTTTACAGGGTAGCACTGGAGTTGGTTCATGAGGGTGACTGCCAGTGCTTCCATGTGTATTGGGAAGTGGGCGGGAGATGGCTCACCCCAACTCTGTGAAAACCTGGAGATTTCAGTCACAAATCTCGCATACCCAAGTTGTAAGCAGATTTTATCTTGGTGAGGTCAGTCCTCAGGTGATGAAGTCAGGTTGGGGATATGGCAGCGATTTTGGATTGCGGAAACAAGCGGCTGCTGGGGGCTCTGCTTGGGCAGGCAAAACCAACGATTTACCCCAGTCTGTTGAGCCATGCGCAGGTCCGAGATTAACTGTGACTTGATCTCTTTCGAGATTTATCTATGGGTCTCTGAAATAAGGCCAATAAATGAGCTTGTATAGCTGAGCTGGAGGTGGTTTGTGGGCATGGCTCCCACATACCTAACTTTTGGCTGTTTAATTTCTTGGTAAACTTGATCCCAAGTTGTTGGGTCCAGCCAAAGGCACAGTGGCAATGTTGGGGTGTCAGGAAGCCTGAAGGCACCATCAGGTTGCATCCTGCAGGTAGAGATTGGCCTGTTGGCAGCACCATACCCCCCGAGCCTATTCAAAATACCATCCTAATTTGCTTCTCTGATTTGTCTTAATTATCATTTACCATTCAGGGACGTAGGGGATAATTACCTAAATCTCACCTGTTCAATAAAGAATCATGAGAAAAAGAAGCAAAGGAGGCCCAGGCAAATTAAATCATCATATTTGTTTTAGGCATTTATTCACTCAGAAAATATTTACTGTACCTTCTCTGTGCTAGACTCAACATTGGACCCTGTGTGCAAGGAGAAAAAAAAGTAGATGGTAGAGAAAGGAAGGGGCTCTGGAACCTCAGCATTCACTGTGAGCTACTGGGCTGTCTCTTGGATCTGTCAACAGAATCCCCTTTTGAGTTCACTTTTCTATACAAATAATAAACATCTTTATACTTTCATAGTTCAAGATGATTCTAAAATAGAGATGATGAAGGTCATTAGCAAGCAGATGAAAAATGAACTTCCTCGGCATCTCTTGTCATTTTGAAACTCTGAAAACTTGTTTTATGCATATTTTTAAAAGCAGAGATGAAAATGTTTCAGAGATGTGGTTACCTTTAACATGTACAAAATCATTCCTAAAAGTCATTTCTCTAGGAGACTTTTCATATGAAACTATCTACATTTATCAAATTTAAATTGCGGAAGGGGGCTGGAGTGATAGCACAGCGGTAGGGTGTTTGCCTTGCACGCAGCCAGCCTGGCCGAGCCAGGTTTGATTCCTCCACCCGTCTCGGACAGCCTGGCAAGCTACTGTGAGTATTCAATATGCCAAACACAGTAACAAGAAGTCTCATAATGGAGACGTTACTGGGCCTGCTCGAGCAAATCGATGAACAACGGGAGGACATACAATACTATACAATACAAAATAAATTGTTGAATTAGAAAGAAAAATTTTTAAAGTAAAATAAAAATAATCTCAACTTTAAGCTTCAGTATTAAACTAAAACCAAAGATCTATGTATGTATTTCTTTTCCATATATTTCTTTTCCATATATTGTTTTCTTCTAGCACTTGAGAGATTTCTGGATCCATAACAACAAAACCAAATAGGGAGCTTTAATGGATATTCCTTTTCACTGTAATTTTGCTGCAAGACAAAATGCAGGCAATTCTATACCTTACCTGATTTTCGGATACACTTCCACCTGAGACATGATTGCAGCTTTATTAATTCCCCCTTTATCCAACCACCTGCTGTTAAGTTTGCACAAAGGAGAGGAAAGGGATACATGGATAAGTCAGAACTTGTGCCCTCTCAAAAAAAATGGTATCTTTTGTATACAAAAATGCAACAGATATTTTCTGTTCGTTTTTAAGTCAGATATTTTACTGGATTAGCTTCTGTTTCTTAAAGTATCTTAGGGACTTTTTAAGGTTTTCATGTATATTATTATGTCTTATGATGTTTTCTATTCACTGTCATTGTCCTCCCGTAGTTCATCGATTTGCTCGAGCGGGCCCAGTAACGTCTCCATTTTGAGACTTGTTGTTACTGTGTTTGGCATATTGAGTACGTCACGGGTAGCTTGCCAGGCTCTGCTGTGTGGGCGAGATACTCTTGGTAGCTTGCCAGGCTTGAATATTTTTATTTTTCTTCCCTAGTTGCTGTGTCTACGACTTCCAATACTATGTTAAATAACAGCATACACGAGGGGCATTTTTGCCTTGTTCCTGATTTTAGAGAGGAGAATTTTACTTCGTCATGGAGAATGATGCTAGCAGCGGGCTTGTTCTATATGGCCTATACTATATTGAGGTAAGTTCCTGCTATGTCCATTTTAGTCAAATATTTTTATGATGAATGGATATTGAATCTTATCAATGCTTTCTCTGTATGTATTGATAAGATCATATGATTTTTAATATGATTTTTATCCTTACTTTTGTTGGGCGTTTGTCTTGTGCTTGGCTGACCCGGGTTCGATTCCTCCACCCCTCTCGGAGAGCCCAGCAAGCTACTGAGAGTATTCTGCCCACACGGCAGAGCCTGGCAAGCAACTGTGATGTATTTAATATGCCAAAAACAGTAACAACAAGCCTCACAATGGAGATGTTACTGGTGCCCGCTCAAGCAAATCGATGAACAATGGGATGACAGTGCTACAATGCTACAGTGCTATTTTTGTTGATGTGCTATATTATATTAATTTATTTGTGAATAATGCACTATCCTTATAAACCTGAAATGAATCTTATATGATCATTATTTATGATTATTTTTGATAAAGTTCAAATTTTGGATGCTCTAGAACACACAACTGAACTCCCCAAATAAATATGGCCTTAAAGCAAAATATTGGGAAACAATTCTATAAATAAATGATAACCCAAAAAGAAGCAGGGACTTATCATACTTAGATCAGATAAAATAGTCTTCCAGCTTAAAAAGATAACAAAAGATGGAGTAAACATTTTATAATAGTTAAGAGATCAACTCATCAAGAAGATTTAGCACTCATTAATAAATGTTATGCCAAATGGAACATTCATTTGGCAAACCTAAAAAAAATCATAAATAGAAACACAAAAGTAGAAGGAATTTCAATATCCCACTCTGACCATTGGGCAGATCATCTAACATTTTTAAGGATAGACCACATGTCATATTTTATATAAAATTAATTTCAAAAACTCACGAAGACTGAAATTATATCAAGTATCTTCCCTGATTACAGCTGTATTAAATTAGAAATAAACCATAAAATAAAAAATGTAAAAACCTCAATTTATATATAATCTAAACAATATATTTCCAAATAATTACTGAGTCAACATCAAAGAAGAAATTAAAGTACCTGGAAATTTTTTTAAGTATGGGCAATAAGAACCAATGGATGAAGCAAAAACTATACTAAGAGAAATTTAGAGCAATAAAGAACTAATTATGAAAAAAGAGATATCTCAAGTAACCTCACCTCACACATTAAAGGAACTAGGAAAAGAAGAAAGAATAAGACAGTCAATTAAAAGGAAACAACAAAAATTAAATTGGAAATAAAGTAGAAATCAAAAGGACAACACAAAAAGTCAGTGAACACAGTACAAAATTCTTCAAAAATATAACCAAAATTGACAGATCTTTAGGTAGACTCACTTATTAAAAAATTAGAAACTCTAAAAAATACAAGACACAATGAAAAGGGAGAAAGTACAGCAGACAATACAGAACTACAAAGGATCATAAGCGATTAAGAATAGGTATATACCAAACCCCATGATAATAATTTCTCTCAATGTCAATAGACTAAAGGCATCAAATAAGAGACACAGAGTGGCAAATGGATTTAAAAATTGAACCCAATATTCTGCTGCCTACAAGAGACACATTTGAATATTCAGAGAAAACACAGATTCAAACTCAAAAACTGGGGAAAAATCCTTCAAGCAAACAACTCCTTCAAAAAGTCCCAAGTCGCCATACCAGTATTCAACAACATAGATTTCAGGCTGAAAAGGGTTAGAAGGGACAGCAAAAGCCATTTCTTACTAATCAAGGAATATGTACATCAGGGAGAAATTACATTCTTAAACATATACATACCTAATGAGGAGCCAGCAAAATACTTAAAACAACTACTAATAGACTTCAAGGATGACATTGGCAGCAACACAATAGTAGTTGGAGACTTCAGCTTTCCTTGTCACCTTTTAATGTTTCGACAAAACTAAAACTCAGCAAGGAAATGCTGGTTTTGAAGGAAGAAATGGAAAGAAAGAGGGCTAGTAGATACATACAGGGTTATTCATCCCCCAAAAGCCAAATATACATTCCTCTCCAGTGCACACAGACATTCTCCAAGATGCTGACCTACAAAACATACTTCCATAAAATCAAGAAAATAAAAATGGTATTGACTATCTTTTCAGACCATGATGCACTTAAAATATAAGTCAAGAACAGATAGAAGTGGAGAATCAAATCAAACACCCGGAAGTTAAACAGCTCACTACATAACAACCAGTGGATTTTTGTAAACAAATGAGAATAAAGATACGAGCTACCAGGACTTGTGGGGCACAACAAAAGCAGTCTAAGAGTATAGTTTATAGCTCTGAAAGAATTCATTCAGGAAAGAAGAAAGGGCCCACATAAATAACTTGACTTCACAGCTTAAGATCTTAGAAAATGACCAACAAAAGGAACCCAAACTAAGCAAGAGGAAGGAAATAATAACACTTAGAACAGGAATTGATGAACCAGACTCCCTCTCCCTACACCACCCCCCCAAAAAAATCCAAAAGATCAATAAAACCAAGAGCTTGTTCTTGAAAAAAATAAATAAGATTGATAAACCACTAGCACCAAGCAAGACACAAAGAGAGGGAGAGAGGGAGAGAGAAAGAGAGAGAGAGAGAGAGAGAGAGAGAGAGAACCCTAATAAACCAAATCAGAAATGAAAAGGAGGGACATCACAACAGAAACCACAGAAATTCAAAAGATTATCAGAGAATCTTTGAGAATCTGTATTCCATAAAACAAGAGATCTTAGTAGAAATGGATAATAAATGTTCCTATAACCTCCCAAAGCTAAATCAAGAAGATTTGGAATATCTGAACAGACCTATCATTATTGAGGAAATTAAAAATGGTAGTCAAAAGTCTTTCCAAAAACAAAAGCCCAGGTCCAGATGGATTTCCTAGTGAATCTTCTGTGCTTTTGTTTCCCTTGCTGTTGCCCCAAATGCTTCACTGAAGCCAGTGCTGTATAGTGTATTAACTGTGTTTATTTTTTTTTTTACGGAGTCAAGTATGACATTCAAGTCTTTGTTCCATTTTAATTAACTTTTGTGTGTAGTAAGAGAGTGGTTTAGTTGATTCCTTTCATGTGGTTATGTGCGTTTTCCCAGCACCATTTGTTTATTTTTTTAATTGAGGTGTGAGTTATGATAGCATTAATATTTGTGCCTCAGGCATTCATGTTATTCTACCACACCTACCGCCGACATGTTAGTATCCCTCCACCACTGTTCTTAGGTCCCTTTTCATTTCCCTCAACCCTGCCACCTTTGGCAGATTCATAAGGAAAAAAGGCTAATACCAGATAGTCTTAGTCATATGTGGTATAGAAAGAAACAAAAGAAGAAGAACAGTAACAAAAGCCAAACAAAAAAATAAAGCAAAATTATTAGATTCTGACCAAGAACTAGGGATTCCACACCCCTCAGGAAATCAGAAGAGAAGGGGCAGGATAAATGAGTAAAGAGGGTCCAATCAGCTGTGGCAGAGATATATTAGTATTTTGGTTGTGAGTTTGATGTGGTCACATGTATCTTGAAAAGATGACAAATTATACTTCTAAAGCATAAACAATGAACAATGTTGTAAACCAATTTTACCTCATAAAAAAATCAAACAGATTGAACCCAGGAAAAGAGAAAGGAAGAGATCAAACCAAGAACCGAGAAGAGTCTAAGAAATAGAAAATCCCTGTTTTGTGCAAATCCTCTTCATTCTTTTTTTTTCCTTAAATTTTTATTAGTGAAACACCATGAGGTATAGTTGTAGATTTAGAAATTTTTGTGCTTGGGTTATACAATGATCGAATACCCATCCCTCCACCAGTGCCCATTCTCCACCACCACCAGTCCCAGTATCCCTCCCTCCCCCCTGCCCCCAATCCCACCCTACCACTGTGGCAGGGCATTCCCTTTTGTTATCTCTCTCCTTTTGAGTGCTGTGGTTTGCAAAAGAGACATTGAGTGGCAATCTTGTTCGGACTATAGTCTACTCTCATCACGCATTTCCCATCCTGAGAGGAACCTCCCAACACCCTTTATTTGGTGCTCCCTTCCCTATCTGAGCTGCCTTTTCCCCTAGCGTGTGCGGCTATCCAAGGAATAAACTGAGATCTGGAGAGAAATGAAGGTCCCAATAAGGAGGGAGCAAGTCCTGAATCTAAAGCTTGGTTAATATGATGTCAGTCTATCTGCACTTCTTCAAAAATCACTGAATATGTAGGTCAACTCACCACTAGAATGTGAAACATAGGGGATGATTTAATCACTTAATCACTTAATCCCCGTTATTCATCGATTTACTCGAGCGGGTGCCAGTAACGTCTCCATTCATCCCGGTTGCGTGCTAGCATAGCCCAATGGTATCTGTTCATTCTAGGAACATGCAGAGCCTCAAACTGATCATTCAGGGTCATGACGAAGAAGTCTGACCATCTTGTAGGTGGGCGTCCACGTGATCTTTTGATGTCCCGTGGAATCCAATCAGTAATGGCTCTAGTCCAGCGGTTGTCTCATTACGTGTCCAGCCCATCTGATTTTTGATGTCTTGGCAAACGAGACAGCGTCTCTGATGATTTAAGGTAGGAATAAAACAACAAACTGAACTGAATAGTTTAAAATATTTGATCACATTAAAACCACTAGACCACAGAAAAATATAAAATCAATTTTCCTTAAGTGCTTTGAATGAGCATTGATCCAGTACAAGAAGATATGAGTTCACTATACTGTCATATAAAACTCATTTTGGTAGGTCAAAATGTAATTTTGTGCTAATTTCATACAGTCAAACCACTGTTCTTGCTCTATACACTGTAGTTCTTTAGGATTTAGGCAAGTTAGACAAGGATTCTGTCCAGTGGGTGATTCCTGCCTTAGCTCATTTATACAATTTTTTTTTTGGCAAGGATTGGTCCAAATTACTGAGTCCTTGCTATAGATAATTGCTTGTGTACAAAGGTAACTGGGGTACAACTTCTCTACCCAAGGAGCCACCAGTATAGTTGAAAAAAAAGGAAA